ACATTGGTAATCGTAAATTGAGAATTAGACCGGCTGTTCAACACCGGTTATAAAGTCAAATAAAATACAGCAAAGTCTCAAAATTATAATGGACGTGTCTGCATTGTAAAGCAAATCTATAATATAACCTGATTGCGCAGCATATTATAATAAATACACAAATCTGCATTTCTCAACCAATTTAATCAGAATTTGGTGTAAAGTGCGCAAATTAAAAAACGAATTTTCCTGAACATTTGATGTAATGATCTTCACGTTTTTACTCTATCTTAATGGTTACTTATTACTCTATCTTAATGGTTCAAAAGGGTGATCTCAAACATGCGCAGTAATTTGTGCAGATGATATTTTAAGCTACGAAATCAGCTACAGAAACATACTTCCTATTATAAACATGCCTTTTTTTCGGCGGATTCGGATTTCTGACACCCGAAATATAGGGAGTGGCCGCAATCTGGAAAATATGCGTTTTGTGCAATCTGGGAAATATGTGTGCAATAGTTTGGTCAGGAGAGCGATTCAAATTTTGGACCCCTTCTTATTAAAAAAATTTTTTTACCCATTTCGCGGTATCTCGAAAACTTTTTAAGCGAATTTAAAAATTTTTGCCCACAATTATAAAATTCGTTTATCCAAAGATAATTTCATGTAAAAAATAACTTTTAGAAAATATTTATTATTTTTTTCTGTTTTATTTAATACTAGTCGAATAAAGTTTGGACTGTAAGGTATACAATTTTTACCTCATTTAAAAGAATACAATTTACATGGCAAAATACAATAGAGATAAATCAGTCGTATAGTTCCTGAGACTGTCAAGATCCAAGACTTGGTTAAAGTCGCAATCTCTCATAAATCCATTGCTGCTGTTGATGAATCCGTAAACTTAGCTTAGCTCCGAACGTTAGCTTGTCCTGGGTGTTGGATCTGTCAAGATCCAAGAATTAGTTAAAGTCACCATCTCTCATAAATCCATTGCTTGTTGATGAATCCGTAAACTTAGCTTAGCTCCGAACGTTACTTTGTCCTGGGTGTTGGATCTGTCAAGATCCAAGAATTAGTTAAAGTCACCATCTCTCATAAATCCATTGCTTGTTGATGAATCCGTAAACTTAGCTTAGCTCCGAACGTTAGCTTGTCCTGGGTGTTGGATCTGTCAAGATCCAAGAATTAGTTAAACTCGCGATCTCTCATAAATCCATTGCTGATGAATTGCTGAAACGCAATGGTGGTGCAGTCGCTAAAGACTGGTTGGAAAGCTAAAGGTAGTGAGTTTGATCCTGGCCGAACAATCGGCGTGTCTGCGTAAGAAGGTGCACTTAAAATTTGTCGTGGCTGAAATTCCTTACTCTGGTTATGGTGTGAAAGTTTGGAGAGTGCCAGCTCATGTGCTGTCCAAGGGTCAAAATTACTTGGCCATCCTACCACGAATGTAAAAAGATAGATCTCTAAGACAGGAATAGTTGCTTTGCTATGGTGGCGAGATGTATGTATGATGACTTTTTGAATGAAAGGCGATCAAAGAATTACGATTCTTGGCTTCTGAGCAGTACTTAGTTTAACATGAGTAAACGAATTGTGAAATCACCTTCTGCCAACGTACTTGCTTCGCGTTGTTTTGTTTCAGAAGAATCCTTTTTAATCCAAATAAAAATCGATTCAGGTACTATTATTCGAACCATTCGATACAAGGGAGAGTTCGAAAATAAGTTTCCTCTTCAGTTTTTCCCAAGTAATCGAATGGCAATGGGATAAACAGGACAGGTATTGAACAGGAATGGCATTCGTGGGCAAATGCGAACAGGAATAGCGTTCATTTTTAATCAAATTGTGTTGTCTCAGTGCCTGCTCAAAGTGGAGAGGAGCTTCTGAGTAGGGTCCCGAAGTTTTATTGCTGGTTTTTTCGAAGGTTGTAAGCATCAATGCTACTGCTACACCCTATTCGAAGGAAACTATTCGAAAAATGAGACCTGGTCTTCTTATATTCGGCGTTCTGTTGCAAGATGAAAATGAGAGACTATACTTTGAGACATCAATGCATAAACATATTGCAATTCCTGGTAGGAAGCTCCTAAACTATCCGCCAGACAGTCTTGATCTCACAGCCAGGAGTTTTATGTGTTTGCGGCTTTGTAGAAAAATCTAGGTTAAAGGATCTTTGGAAATAATGTTGAAGTCACACAAAATCGCTTAACGCTTCTCTGCACACAAGGCCCTGATGTTTTGCAGGGGAGGAGGATTTTTTGAAGCTTATAAAGTGGTGTGAAAAATGTTGCAATTTAATAGATAGCTATGTGAAAAAATAAAGTAGCGTCTTATGTCTGATATCCCATTATATTTTTTTGTCTTTCACATTCAATTTTATCAGCAGTCACCAGGGGAAAACTTATTTTCGGACTTTCTACGGCGCATTCCTATTATCTTTCTTTATAACCATGAATGGTCACAAAGCTATCTCTGGTACAATCCTGATGCTGTTACAGGAATTCACTAATTATTTGAGGAAACATTATATTTTTATGATCTATTTACAATTTTGCTCAGTAACCTTATTTGTGCGTATTCTACTCAAGCCTCTGATGGGAAAATAAAAAGAAATAAAATATTTTTTCTTCTATTCTTTAAAGTAGATGGGAAGGATTTATATGAGACAAAGGTAATAATCATGTTTATTATTTTACTTCAAGAAGAAACATGCCATCAAAAGAGCAATAAAATATGCTAAAAACTGTTATGCTGTGATAAATTATCTGTCCGAGCACCAATCAGTCTATCACCAATCCTGTGCAACCGTAACGATGTCGTTACGGTTTGGCATTTATAAATATACGACTTCTTCAAAATTCGATTTCGCAGGAACAATTTAACCGATTTCGCTCAAATTTTGTATTTTGTCATGTAAAATTGCCTACTTCAAAATGATGTAAAAAATTGTATACCTTACAATTCAAACTTTTTTCGACTATTGTTTAATAAAATAATGAAATATAATAATAAATATTTAGTAAAATTTATTTTTTGCTTGGAATTATCTTTGGGTAAACGAGTTTTATGATTGTGTGCAAAATGTTTTTTATTCGCTTAAAAAGTTCTCGAGATATGGTGAAATACGCAAGAAGTGAAATTAACATTAAGGGTTCCAAACTTTGGATCTCTTTCTGATCAAACTATGGGGACCATTCATTCATTTTTTAGCCTACAGAGAACGGGTATTTGCCAAGTATTTAATAATTAAGTAGACTATTTACTACGCATGAAAAATTGATGTGGAATTACTTATTGAACATATTTTAATTGAATTGTTGTTAGGCAGTTCAAGAGGAATTTGAGGTTAAGAAAAACATTGAAAAGTTTTATCGTCATTTATGGAATGAAGAAATTAAGATAAAAGAAAAAGTTCCACACACAAAAAAAATGTAAAATGTTTTGCAATATTAACCGAAAGCAAATATTATAATAAAAGTGCTTTTGAAGTTATACTTCTTATGCGACTTCCAACAAGGTTGCGTTAAACGTATCACGCTACATTTTTATTGGCCGGGAAATCACGTGGTGGGATCCAGTTTTCCCTCATTCATTTCCATATTGTTTTGGTTCTCACTAGCATAAAAATAATAAAAGTATTGTTTTTCTATAAATATTTTTTTAGTTTGTTTTGATACACATATAATTTAATAGGGTAGTATTTTTTATTTTCAAATTTAGTGGATAACAATTGTAAAAAATGAGTGAAAACAATCCCACGGACAATGCGACGGATTTAAGGTTATGTCAAGGTACGTCTCTTGTGAATATCAATTGATTGTTAGGTTTTCTCTTCTGAAATTACATTATGACGCATTCACATACATTATTAATACAAATACATTTTCCAGGGCGAGACGATGAGGCAACCACAAGCACTTCCACTGGTTCAAGAGGTCCACGAGGGAAAAATGCACAATATTACCGTGATTACAGAGCACGGAAGCGAGCGGAGCAGGAAAAAGAGTCGTTGAATAGAACTAGTGATCCTTCTACGATTGCTGATTCTTCTACAATTAACGTCGCAGGTTACGAAGTTTAACTTCTTCCACGCGGAGGGACTCCACACACTATTTTTTTAATTTTTTCCATAATTCGAGTATGATATAAGTATAATAATTATGAAATTACCAAAACATTGAAAATTAGTTTTACTAATTTACTTTTGGGGTTCAATTACATATAAATAAATATTGATAGGTTATAAATATTGAAATATTGATAGGATAGGCAGCTATTCCGCAAATAATCGATGGTTGCACCAAATTCCTGTACTTCTGCCAAGAATTTTATTATTCATTAAAGCATCTCATAGTACCATAACACATTTTTTTTTCTTGTAAATAAAAATTGATCGATACGAAAATAAATGAACATTTATACTGAAAAGGATCGATAATTATGAATGAAATATGGGTAATTTTTTTTAACCCAATACCAAGAAGTAAAACAAAAATTTCATTTGTGATTATAAACAATACATTGCATTTCGGTACTTATTTTTTCAAATAGCCCTTTAAACTTTTAAAAATAGTGTAATCGCGTTTATTATGTAATATTTACTCAAGTAGATGGGAAAAAAAGGCGTCGTACTATCAACTCTTAATTTATAAATTTTTATAATTATATTAATAAAACATAAAATCAATTGTAAAATATAAAAAGGAAGTTAATATTTATGCAGTATGCGACTAATTTGGCCAATTAAAATTTCAACGTACACATATGTCTTCCAACTACTTCCGCCTTTTTCCTGGTAAATCGCCTTTAACCAATGCACACGATTTCGCTGACATTTTCAGAAAATAATTGGAATCAAAATAGCCAAACAAAGCTTTTAAGACAAATACATTCCATCACCATGAATAATTAATGAAATTCCCTCTTGGCTATATTACACCCTTATAATCTCAGTTTGGCGACTAAGACGCCAAAAAGATATTTTCTCTCATCCTCTCATCGATTCCTGTCAGAATGGGAAAGAACCTATAAAGTAAAGGAGTCCGGAAACTTCCTATCTTTCTAACAGTACGAGATACGTTTAACAGAAGCTCGGAAGAGAAGATAGATAGATAGAGAAGTTTTCGATCCGAAGATGAAACCGGTAAGTGATTTTATTTTTTATTCCATAACTTAGATTAAATGAAAATGTGCTATTGCGTAATCATAATCCCATAAATCACGTTAAAGCAATCCTAGGCAATCGATTTGTTTACATCACTTAATCTCCGCAAGTGAAGATGCGCTATTGCGAAATCACAATCTCTGAAGTCATGTGGAAATAGATATTTGAATAATGGCTTCCACTAACTGTTCCTTTTTGCTTTATAACTGTTCATTTTTGTTTTCGTTCCACATCATAGTAGGATCACAGGAGTTCCAAGAGATAATATTCTTTTAACCAAAAATAATGATTAAATACAATAAAAAATCCTTCATTTATTTAACATTTCTGTTGTTTATATGAAATTATTTATGTAATTACTATGAAAAAACAAACATTTTTTTCAATAACAATAAAGAATATATTGAATAAATTATGAAACGAATAAGTATTTATTATTTATTCTATTAGTTCTACATAAGTGTTTCTCATCGAAATTTTCAATTCAAAATAAAATAATCAAATTGAAGAATAAAGAGTTACGTTTCTGGGATAATTATTCTTAACTTTTATAAGTTCAATAATTCAACTCTTCTTTTTCCTTCTATGTTTGTACATCAATAACAATTTCATCATTTAAAAATAGTTCTTTATTCTTCACATTAAAATTTTTCAAACTAATTAATAGTCTTTCTTTATTTATGCATTTATTTAATTTTTTTTGGCAATGATATGGGTCACTTTCGGGAAACTTGCACTTTTAATATCCTATGACTTAAAGCAATTTGTTTAAGCATTAATAACTTGTTTAAGCAATCAAATTAATTTACTACATGTTTTTAGTAAATGTAGACACATAGAAATTAGTATTTTAAAAATAATGCCTGTGTAAAAACATTTTAATATGTCGGATATAACCAAATTGCAATGTCGCAGTCTTCTTTACTTATTTTCTGGCAATTAAACCAATTAATAATTGAATATAATTTAAATTTATCTAGTTAAGAAAAGTGTATTATATGTAATATACAGCACTGCTTTTCTAATATGCAGTTTTATTGAAACAGTTTAATATTGTCCTATGTTTTTCCCCATTACTATCTTACAATAATTATTTTGCAGGCAAAATTTTTTATTATATTTGTTGTATTCTTAGAAAATAAAGCTCGGACAAGCTGTTTTAGTTCCCCTTCTGTTACTAGCATAATTGTTTTCAATCATTTAAATGATAATTTTATTTTTTTATGGTAAGATTAAATTGCATTTTACATTTTTATATAAACATTTCTTCTTCTCAATTTAACTTCTCAACTCCCACGTAACTTGTAGTTTCTTTTCCCTCTCTCTTACTTTTACATCCTGATTATGGAAATTTTATTTGTTGACTTAATTCCAACGCTTCTTAATTTAACGCTTCTGTTACTTTAAATTAGTAACATGTATATTTGTTATTTTCAAAAGTATCTTGCAGAAGGATATTAGTATTAGCGACGTATGTCGCAGAAAGCTCGAAAAAATTCTGCAGCAGGGACATACTGCTTCTTTATAAATGGACATATTACTTCTACCTTATCATTTTAAATTTTCATGCACATTTATTAGACCAAATATAGTTTCTTTTCATATAAATAAGAATTACCAGGGGTTGTTCTGATTTTTCAGAAAGGTCTATTATTGAGAAATCGCGAAATATTCTAGCATAATATCTGTACATATTTTTTTTTTTGTATCAGGGCTCTGATTTTATAAAAATTCACAGCAGTGAAATATATAATCAAAAGTTTGGAAAATTAGAAAAATAAGGTTCTGTTTTTGTGGGGAAAAACACGAAAATCATGTTTTACAAGGAGTTCTAAGTTTTAAGATTATGAATTAAAGACACCATCGACTCGTATTTCTTTTCAATAAAATTTTTTTTATCTGTGTTGATGCTATTGTCGCTATTAGATATTTTGTGAGAAAATTACACCTAGTAACAGTAGTTCCATTTTGCCTGAGCATTGTTCTCAAATTGTAAATTAGCATAAATGTTTTGATAAAGACTTAAGAATTTGTACAAGCAGGGGTCTGTTTAGAAGAAATTTGAGTCCCTTAACGGACCCTACACAAAATATCTTCCACAAAAACGGACCCTTCACAAAATAATTTATCTTTTAATCGGACCCTTCACAAATTTGTTAATCTTCATTATTGTTTTGTTAATCGAATAAACCCTTCTTAGGAAAAAAAAGAAAGACAGTTCAAAACGAACTAAGTTTTTTAAGTTTCCCTTGGTTTAAATTCCAAATGTAGTATTTTAAGAAAATATTTCTACTTTTACAAACATCGTGTGCACATTCTTATTAATATTAAAGGATAATTTTGTATTTTTTTGTAAATGACTAATTGATCAAAGTATATTTATTCATAAAATTAATTAATGTAAATAAAAATTAATTTCTGGCAATCTTTAAAATAAAATATTATTAATTTAAGAATTGTTTAAGTTTACTTAATGCTTAACACATTAAAAGTGATACATTACTAAGTTGTGTTATTTAAAATATGTCAATTGAAATTATTAAAAATGTGAGNAATTGAAATTATTAAAAATGTTAGTGATTATGTTTCCATTATTGGTCCGAAATGAATATTCTGTGTTGAGCAGTATAGGCTGAATACCAAATATTTCTACGTTGCATCTCTAATTTAGTAGCAGCAATTGTTGAGCAGAATTTTGTATCTATTTACAATTTTGAAACTTCTTGATAAGGTTTTTAGCATTTTTTGCAATAGCAGGACCTTATTTGCACAAATTCACAAAAGCAGGACTCTGTTTGAAGGAATGTGACTAACGCTTATTTTATATTCACAAATTATGAATAATTTTTTTCACAATTTTACAAAAACATGACCTTTCACAAAATGTCTGGACAGACACCTGACAAGGTTTATTGAAAAAATGTCACATCAAAAACATTAAGAAAGTCAAAACGGAACAACGAGTTGTTTTTTAAACTTTTACTGCCGGTTGCAGAAATACATTAAGCCAGGCCATCATTTATTTTGATAAATGGATTCTCATAATATTTACTAAATGTATTCTCGTAATATTTTCAGGAGCTATTAGATCAATCCTGGAAATTATTGTTTTTTTTTTACCCCAATTATGTTTTATCATTCAGCTATCAAGACATCAAATTCAGCTATCAAGTCCCACAAATCCATTGAAATCCATTGTTATTGGCCCACAAGTGTCAAAAATAGAGTGCAGTGGCCCACCCTGCTCTGCCTTATCAACCATGTTGAAGAATATGAAAATTATATGAAGTAATGCTCTGTTAAAAATGAAGTAATGTCATGAAATTCACGTGAAGTAAAAAATCAACAATAGTAAGTATGCACATTGCACACACTTCGAAACATCAGTTTCGTTTTTACAAACAATTTTTTTAATAAATAAGATGAAATCGAATAATATAATTTCAGATTGAAAAAAAAAATGTTTTATTCAGTAACCAATTGTGACCTTAGACGAACAGTCTAAATCAGGAATCCCCACACATTGTTTTCCCTGAGCTTTTTTAAAAGGGCTGCCCGACCTGCCTGTCATTTAACCTCTATAAATGCGCCTTCTTGCCCTTTTATTAAAAATAAGGCCACCCTCCCTTAAAAACACTATCCTATTATTCATATTCAATTCTTAAGTGATTTTAAGTTTATTTTTTTTAAATAAATACCTTTAAAAAAATACACCTATAAATGTTCATTTTCTTTTAATTTTCAGTTTAAATTATAGAAAAAAAACTTCCAAGTAGTTTATGAATAATTCTTTTTTTTTTAGTTTACTTTTCTTTTGAAAAAATTTATGATTAAAGATTGTATTTCAGCATGGCTTTATTTACTTTGAGAATTACTATTAATAGCATGCACACAAAATAGTATACGCACAGAATGGGTAATTTAAAAAATTTTGAGGATCATTCAATTATTACATAATATTACACCTTTTGATAAATTTTTACCGTGTTAATTAAGTGGCCCTTTCGAAAGTCAGAGTCCCTTTTTTCTGTAAGGAAGCACCCTGCCATTTTTTATTCCTATGGAGAACTCCTCATTTTGTTTCTTAGAACACATTCCAACCCTCCATGCGAGTAGCCCAAGTATGAAATTGTACTGAAATTTCCCTGCTACTCATTATTTTTCCTTTTGAAAATCATCCGGGAACTATATTTTTGATGCCTGCGTCTGAAAGTTCGGGGGAAAAAAACAAAACAAAAAAAAGCAGGACTAACGCAAAGAGGGTTGGTATACTGACGGGATCGCGAGCATTTTTTATAGGTGAATTAATAACTGAAATCAATATTTTTCCATAGCATTTCACTTAAAAAAAAAATCGTGGATCCTCAGAAGTGGGTGCTCCTAAAACAATAGGAGGGTGCCCTGCGTGGTGCTCTCAAACTTGAAATTGGGTACCCCTGTTCTGAACTATACAGACCTTGATCTACTACTAAAAATACATTTTAATTTGTAAAAGAATAAATAATTGAAGCAAAAAAAAATTCTAACAAAATATTTAATACAATATTTTACAAATAAGTTTATAATAATATTTTTTAATGAAAATAATAAATTTCTAAAAAGAAGTTTTTTTGAAAAGTCATCAGAATATAACGTCATTAAAATTATTTTGTTCATAATGATATAACGTGATTAAAAGTTTTTCGAGAAAAACGCTCTTAACCAATAAATTTACCTGTAAAGTTTGTTTCTTTTAAGGGAATGCAACTATGTAAGTTCGTCCATTTGGAAATATAATTTGCTTTTTTATAATCTGAGTTTTTCAAAATTTTTATAATTAATTTTTCATAAAATTTTCATTTGCCACTATTGAAATCCCACCATCCCACTCTTTGGTACGCCTCCCCTATGCCTGGCCATCCATAACCTAGAGTCAATTAATTATGTTTCTCGTATGGCGAACGGTCTTCCAACATATTTAAACAAAAATATAAATTTTTAATTAAATGTAATCTACTCATTTTTTGGCTTTTCTTTTAACACATTTACTTTTTAAAATAATTTAGTTTATACTACTTTATAACTGCGTGAAAGTAATGTTCTGAAGTAGCATTTCAAAATTTTTAACTTACTAACATAAAAGATACCAAAGACGATAACCCAATCAGTCTGTCTATTCCAAAGTAATTAAGTTATAGATTATCGAGAAGTTCAATTTTTTACCTTGAATACGTCGCCTACTTAAAATCATTTCGCAAATGAAGAACAATAATGTTGGCTGAAGATTTTCCTCTTTAATCGAGAAAATATTTGCGAATTTATAAGCGTTCAAATTAGATTATTAAAAGCATCGCAGATAGATTATTAAAAAGCATCTTTGTTTCAATGTCAACTAACAATTCAATGACTTTATTTTTAAAAAAATTCAATTTCAAATGACTGTCAATGTTTTCAAATTAAGCACAAAAAAAGAACTGCATGATAATTAATCCATTCTGGGATATCCATATTTTCAATATCTCCGAAGCGTAATTTAAAAATCATAGCTTAATTATTAAAATTTTTGTGATTGAATATCATTTTTATTCATTCCTCGACCCCCTAGATCAGATTAACCTCTAATTATACTGTACCGACTCCCAAAGATTTGATATCAACCATTTTTCCGGTCCCTGGATTAAATGTTTCGAACAACAGACCAATTGGGAGCAAGTTCTAAAAACTCCCAAATCAGTTTACTCACCCACTCATCTAATTTATTCGTCAATTTTTAGAGTAATTTTTCCAACTGTATTATTTATTGCGCATATGGCAGATTTTCTACTATTCTTAACAAGTTTTTTTTTTTAGTTTGCCTCATAAACATGCATATTCTATAATTTATATCTACAACCAATGTGAAATAGACCTTTTTTTTAATTTCTTATTTCATAACAAAAAAACAAAAAAAAACAAGAAACTAACTGCAAAATAAAAATTTAGCTTGATGTAAAAGTTTACCCCTTTTGACCCCTTAACGATCTGTTAATTTTCAAGAAAACGATCATAAAAGTGCCTATTTTGCAAAATACACGTATTTGATTAGTGCTGACATCTAGTTTAAAATAAACTATCTACAATGACCTTAAAAATATCTTGGTACTGCCATCTGGTGTGTAAAATGAGAAATAAAATGCTTTCCAAGCAAAAGAAATGAATTAGTTTTATTATTATTGGCACGTTACTACTGAACACTCCAGCCCGGAAATATCACGGGAGCGAGAAATAGAGGGCGAAACATCACCTCGTCATTTTCACGGGAGCAAGAAGGAAGGGGTTAAAAGGAATCTTTGAAGCTATCGTAATGCTAATTACTCAAATACATGAACTTTTTAACGAAATATTATTAAAAGCATTCAGGGTATTCCATATTAATCACTTTTAACATTTACTGAAATGTCTTGAAAATTATATTTGTGATAGTTATGATTGTTTTGGTTTATGCTTTTAAATTATTGAAATTATTTCAGGAATTGCTTCAAATTTCCTGTTTCTTCAAGAACTACAGCCAGCGGTTTCATCGTCAAAAATCCTTCAAATTAACTTGTTTTCATTTAATATTTTATTCTTTTTATTTATATTTTTATGTTCAGAGACTTAATTTTTAAATAGAAATTGAATTTAAATTTTTAAAAATTACAAATACAAATACTAAATAGTATGAATACGATTTCAATTTGTTTGTGCAAAACTTTTATATCATTAAAAGTTTTGCATTCAACATTTCATACATATCAAACATTTTAATACTTGGTTAATTAATTACAATGCTCTTTTTAGTTTAGTTGATTATTCATTTTATATGTTGTGTATAAATTGTTATATTATATGGATAATCAAATAATTCATTTCGAATGAATAATTTTTCATAAAGCTTTTGATTTTCAACAAAAATTTTGTAAAACTAGAAAAACACAAATTATTTTTCTTTAATCTCCATAAACAATATTAAATCTAATGAAATATTCTGTCTAAAATATATTTATACTTAATTATTTACAATACTGATTGAATTCTATTGGATATTGATTTTATGTGTTTTTATATTAGATAAATAATGAAATATCTTAATTAGAATGAGTAATTAAATAAACTATAAGTTGCATTAATTTATTTTAAACAGATGAAATTCAGACTATTTTGTATAAATAATATTGAGCTTTATGAACTATTCTATTATTTAAATGATCTTGAAACACCAGTATGATATGCTATATAATATAATATTATATGATACTGTATGTGATAAAATTATTTTAGATGCATCATAATATGATTTTCTATGATATAATATTATATTATATAAATGGGTGTCTTCCCATTCTCATTCCTGCTTCTTTTTACAATAATCATATGTTTTGTAAGTATATATATATATTTTGACTTTTATGTAAATGTGTGTAAATCAGAGGTTAAATTGCAATACAAAGTTAACACTCTCGTTTAAGTTTTATTATTCTAATTATTATTTAAATTTTAAACATAATCGGCTTAGAAGCTTGTCAAAAGGGCCACTTTGGTGCCCAAATATTGGAAAATTGGTGCCTCTGTAACTAAACGGCCCTTAACCCTCGCTTAGTATTCAGGAAATCCTGTTGCGAGTTACAGCTCTAAAGTTCAATACCTACCTGCTCTGGCTTACGCAGCTATAAGTGGTATACGGATCCTGGGTTAGAGTCCCATTGCCGTCAGGCTTACCGTGAGAGGTTTTCGTGGTTTTCCTCTCATGTAACACAAATGTGGGTAAGTCCCCCCTATAAAAGACCTCCACGAAGGCATACATGCCCTTATTCGTGACTCAGAAGTATCCTTGTCTTTTGAGTTGGACATAAAACTACAAGGCTGCGAAGATGAAAATCTAATCAACATGCTTATGTTGATATTTTTTGTCTCCTTTGAAAAAGAAAACAGATTAAAACTTTTTATAGTATAATTTTTTATATTCATTTTATTACTTTATTTTTAATTTATATTAGCGCTATATTAGCTATGTATTGTAGTAGGTTATTTTATAATATCATTCCATGAGAATACTCAATAATATTAAATCAGTATCCATAAGAATATGATTTTACTGTACTTATTTAATAAAATTTTAATACCTAATCTATCTTAAATACTCACTATTTCTAAAATAATATTTGCTATTAATTTTCATGATGGAATAAAGATTGATTCTTTTTCAAATATTCTGAATATTAAAAATTAGTTTTTACATTTAAAATCATTTTAGCTACAAAACATTGCATCAATTTTCAAAACAAAAATCGTGATTTCTATATTTTGTTTATTTCTAGATTTTTTGTATATAGTTTGCAAATAATTTATACATTTTTTAAATCATTCTTTTCACCAAACTTTACCCTTAATTTAATTTTTAAAAAAAGAAAATTAATTGTACTCATTTACTGCAAAATAATACGAAAAACCACAAATATAATTTTAAAACTAAATATAAATTTTTTTCAAGAATTGTTTTTCAATTAATACACATCTATAAATTTAAAAAATCTGTATTATATGGAATATTTTCTTTAAAATTCAATTTATTCCATATTCAATTTTATCCTTTTCATTCGTTTTTTTTACTGTTCTTTGATTTACACACATATATTAATCTTCTGTTTCATTCTTTAGTTATATTTTCTACGTTTATTTCGTTAAAAGTTTTGTTTTAACGATTAATTTATTGTTTCCACATGCAATACAGATGTTGTTTTATTCTTTCCTTTTGCTTGAAATTTTATATGACATTTTATTCAGAGTTATTTTAAGATTCTGTTGACTAATTTGTCTTCGTTATTATGTAAACAGTAATCATAATTATCATATTGTGAATTTGGAATTATACTTATTTTACAAATCCTTGTAAAAAATGTATGCACATTAGAAATCATAAATTAATATGTAATGGGAAAAAATAACTAAAGGCTATCGAAACAAAACGAATCACGAGCAAAAAAGGTCTAATAAAAAATTTCAAAAACAGTTTGATTGTAGATGGAAACTGAAGTGTTCAAAACAATTATTAGAATCACTTTTAAGTTTCATCAGCTAATCAAACTGATTTTGATGTTCTTCAACTCGCTTTACCCACTAGTGATCAATCATATTTCGTTAGCGCTTTTGTTTTGTTTCTTTCTCGCTTTTATACGCATAGTTAATTCCTTATATTTATTTATTTCGAAATCGAAAAAGTTTCCTTTTTTTTCCGTAAAAAAGTATAAAATTATCATTTTTCTTTCAAATAAACTTCTTAACAAAGCTGTTTATTTTAAACCTATTTATGCCATCGAAAGTTGTTTTACTTTTATAGGCGTTCGCATGATTGTTTTAAAGTTAGCAATTTAAATTGAGTCAAACTATTGGCTGTAGTTATTGTTATTATTAACTATTGTCCATGTCCAATTATTACTTTTAGCAAAATTAATATAACTCAATACTTTTCAGTTATTATTTTATTATGAGAAATTGCAACATTTCGTTATAAAAAATTAACTTTTAAAATAGCAGATTAATAATTTCATTTTCTATGCTCTTACCAAATTAAATTGTATTAATTTTAATTTAAATATAAGTTATAAAAATTCCGGCTAGCTTTTTAATTTTAATAAAAGTTGCAATTAAAAATTTGCAATATTATTTTAAAGATTCCCCAGATTTTCCTTCGCCAATCGGAAATCAATTGTACATAAATTTTTCTCAGGTCCTTTAATTCTAACTAACTATGCAAATGCTGTTTATAGAAATTATAATAGTTGACTTAATGGACAGAAGTCAGCAATTGTACATCAATATTTTCTCGGGTTCTCTTAATCTTAATTTAATCGAAAAAAATTTTTTAAAAAAAATCAGTTGTGGCATGAGGTGCTTAATTAAAAAAAGAGGTTTCATTAAATGGCGCCAAAATGCCACAGATCAAAGCCATCGAAAATTTTATGATTCACAGCCATCGAAAGCAATGTTTATTTTAAGTCATCGAAACGTTATTATAATCTAAAACCATCGAATCTATATGACGCATACATAATTTTTGTAATGAGAGCGTTTAGTGATATATTTTCAGAATCCTTGTCAAAAGAGAAATTTAAAAAAGTATCAAAAGTGATGCCAATCAATATTTAAGTCGCGAAAAAACAAAAACGCTGCCATTATGTAGCAAATCACTACTAAGGAAGGCTGAACTGAAAACGTTAACACTCGTTTAATTGGCGTAGGAAGCAGAAAAGTTCAAGAATGATTGTTAGAAACGTTAGAAAGTTTTATCAGACAATTAAACTTTTTTTATATTTTCCTTCCTGCCTTCCTCACTGATGATTAGATAGATTTCAGAAGCGCAATCGTTTTTCCTTGCGCTAATATTAATTAGCTTTCCCTGTTGTGAACGCTTTTCGATTTCATTTTTGACTAGAATTAGGAAAACATGTTTTAAGGATGATCATTGCAGAAATCTTTGTACATTTTATTTTATTTATTTTGCAAACCTATTTTAATTCTTAAATCTTTAACATTCTCTAACTTTTTACTTTATATGTTTTCGGAAAAATTACTCAATTACAATCAGATTTTCGCAATATTTTCTTCATGGTTCTTTTTACTTGGATTCAAAATTGAAGTTGCATTTAAGACCATGGTCTTTTTTTTTTTTTTTTTTTTTTTTTTTTTTTTTTTTTTTTTTTTTTTTTTNTTTTTTTTTATAAAAATCCCATCACACGTTCCAACTTTATGAAATCTCTGCTCCCCGTACTGTAAATATTTTTGTAAATATTCTCACCAAATTTTTTTTCCTTAATACGTTATGATTTTGTACATAATTCAAGTAGGTAAAAGTGGATTTAAGAGATGACTCAGTTTCAACTTCTCCGCTCCGACTTCTAGGTCAGCAACTGTACATAAATATTTCTAAAAATATTTTCAATTTAATGTTATTCTCGTAGATAGATATCAATTCATTCTTCCCATAAAATCCATGTAGTAATTTCTTTGTGTGTATATGAAATGTTAAGAATAAAATATATTAGCATCTTGCTCAATACGAAAACCTTATTGTATCGTTATCTATGCAACAAAGAAGAAACAAAAACTGGCATAAAAGCCTCCTTTCGGGTAAACTATGCAAAAATGGGAGGTTGGATCATTTCAGCTAGAACTTGTCTTTTCTTTTTTATTTATTTATGCTATATATCAGGGGTAGCCAAGCTCCTTGATAGTCGACCATTTTTCAAAATTTAAAATTTTTCGCGAGCTGCAATTAAATACGTATTTAAAAGGTATGCAAAAAAGGTATTAAAAAAAAAATTTCTGCAGAAATTATATTTATTGAAAACATATAAATAAAAGTACGAAATATGTGTATTGATTTCAAATATTAAAAATTAAACACATTTATTTTACTTCTTTTTATAATTCTTTAAAATTTGATGACAGCACTTCTCAGTAATTCTTTGAAATACTGGTTAGTTAATACTGATTGGTGTTTGGATTTCACGAATTTTAAAGTGGAATAAAATGATTCGCATAAGTACGTTATTCCGAAATAATTCGACAAGCAGCCTTTTTTTCGATTCTGGAACAAATTTCCAAAATTCAGCAATTAACGTCGACTTATATTTTAATTGCAGAGCTTGATCGTCTTGCATCTCTATTAATTATAATTCTTCAGATGCTTTTTGGATCATGATTATATTGGAAATGGAAAACTCACCATGAATTATGTTAATTTCAAATGGATTCAGAAAAATATTAAAATATAATAGCACAAAAATGGAAAGGGAACTCTGGTACATTTATCGAGAGCCACAAATAATCCTTCAAAGAGCCGCATGTGTCTCGCGAGCCGCAGGTTGCTCACCCCTGTTATATATTATATTTTTTGCATTATTTGTGTTTGGTGCGAAGAACTTTTTAGCTTATTTTACATCTTTTAGATTTTGATATTTTCAAATGTTTATTTTTGGTGCTTGATCCAGTAGAAATTTGCTCTTTGGGGTGATGTAATGCTTGGTTTTTAAGCCATGAAAGGGCCACTCTTGCATAGAAGGCCCAGAGAGTTTCACTTTGACTGCCCATTTTCGCTTTTTTAACCAATTCGGTAATTATTTTTAGATTTTTCTTTCGTTTATTATTATTATTATTTTTTTTTTTTGCATCTGGTTTATTTTTATCTTTGCACACGTAAGTCAGCAATTTGTACATAATATTTCAAGCTTATTCATTTCATATATTTCAAGAGTGCGATAATTCCATCTCTTCTTCGGTTAATTCAAGTTCTATAAATCAATTGTATATATATTATCACTATATTTCTCCAAAACATTCTCCGATAAGTTGCTGTATAAAGAATTATTTATTATTAACTGTACAAAGAGTTATTTATAACATATAAATGTATTTACAGTGTTAATTCTGTGATTTGTAATTTCAGTAGATGTGTAATATTTTGTTAAGACTATATGAAAAATATTTTGAAAAATATTTTGCTCAATATCAAAATCCTATGCAAATGAAAGCTATTCTATGCAAGTTTTGACGTAAGAACCTCAATTTGGAAAAATTATGCCAAAAATGTGGTGTTGGATCACTTCAAATTCTGTTTTGAAAATCTAGAGCTGGTGCATGAAATTTTTAATTATTTTTATTTGCAATGCTTGTGTTTTATTCGAAAAACTTTTTAGTTTGCCTTTAAATATTTTAGTTATCCTTTTGTTCTTTTTCTTTAATTTTACGTCTGATTTCCTTTTATCTTCGCTAAAAGTCAGCAATTTGTACATAATATTTCATGTATGTTCCTAAAACCATTTTTTTTTGTATGATAACTTCACTTCTTCTGAGATTAAATATAAAATCTATCAATCAACTATATATTTCCCCCAAACATTCTCTGATTATTTACTGTACATAAAATTAACTTGTTTAACTGAGGTAAATCTATGTTTAGTAATTTCCGTGTGTATACATATATAATGTTATGAATAGAATGTCTTGACATCTTGCTCAATATAAATTTATTTTTAATTGCATCATTTTCTATGCAAAAGAGAAACTGACATAAATGCTCAATCCAGTACTGCTATGCAAAAGTGTGAGACTGTATCATTTCAAATATACTTTGAAAATACAGTCTCGGTACTAAAATTTCCATCTTTATTTTGCCTTATTTGTGTTTGATGCGAAGAACTTTTTAGCTTATTTCACATCTTTTAATATTTTTAAAATGTCTACTTTTGGTGCTCGAGCTAGTAGGAGTTTGCTTTTTGGGGTGATGTATTGCTTGGTTTCTAAGCCATAGAAGGGACTCCCTAGCATAGAAGGCCCAAAGAGTTTCACTTTGAAGTATGACTTATGAGTACATGCTTTCACTTTTTTTTTCTTTTTTCATTTGCGTTCGCAGATCTAAGTTAACACATTGTATATAAAAATATTTCGTGTGTATCAGTAGAATTATCTGTATTTGTATGATTCCGCTTAATCTATGATTAAATTTAACCACTATAAAGCCGTTGTGTGTGTCTATATATATCTGCCATACATTAAGAGAATATTTTGGCTTTTGTGGACAGCCATCGTCAATTTGAAACGCACCAGGCTAATTGAAAAAGTCCCCGAGTTTTATAATCAGTCCGACACTTTTCAGGCCTACTGTAAGTGAGTTCACGTACTAGAAATGTATCATTAATCTCTCTGTTTGCTTGTTTTATATTTCAGACAGTTAGCAATTTGCCCGAAGTATGGAAGACTTATAGCTGGTTTGTTTCAAAGAGCCTAAAAAAATTCAGACTGATTGAGTAATTCTGCACTCATTTTCTAATTAACCCTAAATCTGACACTAATAAGCCTAAAAACTGTCAGGCAGAATACAAAATACTGAAAAACTTTTCTAATCGCACAGTTGAAGTATCTTTTTTATTGAGGTGAAAATTTCTTTTTATAAAAAATATGGTTAAACACATACGCTTAATTTTATTCGACATCCTTTAGTGTTAGCTACAACTTTAGTTTATAAATAAATCGTATTCATATAATTACAGCCATAAATAAATTTTAAAAATTAAATATTTAAATTACCAATATTTTTCTTTTGGAAAAAACGAGATGTTCCCTGCGAGAAAGGGAACAGTTCTTTTTTTTCCCAGTAAACAAATCTTCAACTTTAATGATTTGATTTAATTCAAGTCTGCGCCATCTTTAGTAATCCATTTTATGAGACCCATTTGCAATTTTGTGAGGTATCGTGAGCAGCTATCATCTCTCTATTTTCGTACGTATCCACAGTGTGCACGGACTTGTGCTGCATGTTTTAAATAAGTGTTTTTCCATTTATGAGTTATATTTCTTTCAACTATTTATACTGGTAGCAAAACATCCATCGCTTGAAATTGTTATTATGATAATTGCTAATATTTCACTTTGACTCCCTTTCAATTGTTTTATCGGGTATTTATTACATTTTATTTTCTTGTTAATTTTATTTATTGAAAATTGAATCCTATTTTTTATGAATCCTATTTATTAATGGATTAAAAGTAATTTTTATTAGTCTGAAAAAAAAAACTTTTGCGACAGTCTTGAATAGAAGTTTATTTGAAAGACGTAAATTTATAACTTTATGTAAATAAATAAAACCATTTTCGTTTAATGAATAACTAAAATCAATATTTTAAGTCACATATTTTTTATTAATTATAAAAAATATATATAAATTCAAAAAGTCATCTGTTACTAATTATGATCTTAAATATTGTGTTAGATACTATAGTAACCATTTTTCTATGTTTAATTAAAAATTTGAAAAAGATTAGTAGAATACATTAATATATTAGATTTTTTTTAAAAATTTCACTTACATCGTCGACGCAAAAAATATCTTAAATCATTATGTTGCATAATTTTAGATCATTGTCTTGCTAATTTGCCACTATGTTCTTTTCCTCTAAGATACCTCCCTAATTTTGTGATAAATATGTTTTCTGAATTATTTATAAGAATTATAACAATTTATTCTTTAACTCATACGACAAAATGTATTTCTAAAAATGGATTGTTTATATAAATAAACTGTATTGCATGCTGGAAGTTTTTAATAAAATGTTCACCTGTACTACGCTTATTACTTTAGAGTACATTGCACACGAACGAGTACATTTTATGAGAGCATTCAACTTAAAAATTATTTTAAACAAAACGAATTTAGAAATCATGTTTTAACTTTTTATACCCACCACAAAAAATAAAAACACTGATGTTATGACATTGAAAAAATATGTTCACTTATTTTTATAGGCTTTAGAGAAGTATAAAATTAAAAATAATATTTTACATATTGTAATTATGCATTTTACTTTCTTAAAATTGAGTTGCTTTTATTTCTTCATTATTTTGAATATCATAAAAGTCCAACAAAAATGTTTTATGGCCAGCATGACAACTAGGCCTAAAATTTATGCAATCCTAAAATCATATATTATTTTGAAATATCTTATTTAAGATGGTATAAAAATGTTTATAACAAGCATTCTAGTTTTTATTTAATTAAAGTATTTTATTTTCAATTAAAACACTTGGGATTCCGTAAATTTTTTAATCGGAATATCTCTATTTTAGTTATTTAGAATTACTATTTAAGAATTTTACTTGTTTGGCATAATAAAGCAAACACTAGTAAAGCCATTTTTACTTAGCTAAATTATTCAGAGAAATAAATAGTATGACAGCAACGTTTTTAATACAGTTTTTATTAAAACTAAAAAATTTAGATTCCGTTGAACAAGAGGAACTTTAGATTCCGTTGAACTTATCATAACAGGATAACACTCAATACATTGTCAGAATTTTGGAGAGCTTTGAAACATATTACTCAAATTTCGGCAATCTTAGCTTAGCAATAAATTAAACCAAGTTATCGTAATTTTTAATGTAATTACACGATTTTAGAGCTCAAAATGACAGGAAATAGTGTTCCATTCAACACCATATGAAGGTTGTAGCAAATTTGAAACTTACAGTTCAAAATACTGATTCTATGGTTTGACGTTTCTGAGATTGTAAAGATATCAGAATTCCTACCGTTCGACAGTAACGACAACAAATCTCTACTGTCATTGCAGTGACGATATCAGAACTACTACTAGACAGAAAAAAAAACCTAAATTGGGTATAAAAAAAACCCAATTTGGGTTGAAACATTATTTGGCATGAGGCTACCCAATTTGAGTTCATAATAAATTGGATTATAATGCAATCCTATTATTACGGATATAATTCTTTTCTCCCCAGCTTTGAGATCAAATATGCGCTTATGTTAAACACTATTTCAAACATACGATTAAATCAAACAGAGAAATTGTAATTGTTTTGGTAAAATTAGAGTTGACGGTACAGGCGTGGCGCAATAAAAAAAATGTAAGCCAAACAGACGTCTTTATGATGTCATATTTACGATAAATTGAAGTTGAAAAAAACTATTTAAGTTGTTTGACAAATATTCCTAATTTGAAGTTTGAAAGTTTTAATATTAAATTTGGGACACTTAATCAGAAATTTTACTAGTCAAACAAGTAAGTATATTACAAAAAATAAAATCTAGTATTGGCGAAAATGTTAACTTGACGTTGGGCAGTAATACAAATTTGCAATATAAGAAAATTGGCTTCTGCAGTATGAAAAACCAACACATAATGCTTAAAAAATATATAATAATGATACAGTTATGAAAAGAAAGAAAAAGAGCATACACTCACTTTGTTGACATGTCGACAGAACATCTGATTGTTCCGAAACAAACATGGCGCGACAAGGTCGACAAAAACAAAGATAATTCGGTTGACAGCTAAAATAGCAGAGCTATAATCCAATTTGGATATTGGTATTTCCCAACTGATATTGTAAACTGGAAGTCGTAGAACACGTGACAGTTTACTCTAATTTGGAAAGATTTTAGACCCATTACGCGTTCGATAGTCTTCAAATCGTAAATTATGCCCATATTGGAGTTTGGAAAGCTAATATATGCGTTCAAGCATCACTGGCTACGGTCAGTGTGCGGGTGGGGGACCACTTGGATCAGCCTGCGTAGGGACCGAAGGTGTGCGGTATTGGTCCTCGTTAAACTGTGCTACCGTAAAGTGCTCGACTTCGCGTGCAGGTCGTCGGGCTACCGAAGGGGGGGGGTGCCATCTCGTCTGCAGAGGATCAAAATTGTGATGGCATGTCTTCGGATCATCCTCAGGGATGTTTCCCAGACCGTCGCCAATAGCCCATTGTGCAGCTTTAGTGCGACGTAAATGAACAATAACATATGTGTTATTTGCCGACCAGGTGGCCGAGCGGTTAGCGTGCCTGACTACGGAGCCGATGGTCGCGGGTTCGAATCCTGCTCAAGGCATGGATGTTTCTTTCTCTCTGAGTTCTATGTCCTTTCTCCTTCGTGTGTGAATGCGACCCGCCCTATAAACGGGTTTGTGGTTGTGTGACGCGGGCGACCCTGCTCCACCGCCGTGGCTTCGCCGCAGGTGCCCACTGGGTAACGAGAAGAGAGTAGCAGCTCTGGCATTTTCTGAGGCCAATGGGTCGAATCGAAAAAGATCTTACTTTTTTAACGCTACCGTAAGATTTGGGTTGAAACATGATTTAGAAAAATAACTAATAAGGAAAAAATGTTAACAAGTAAATAAAGTTATCATTTCGATTACCATGAACATATACCCATGTCAATGGATAAACGCCGGTTTATTTTGCGTTTAATACACCATAAGCGAGATTTCTACTTAGTTCTCTTACAAACTTTACATCTATATTGCTAATAACTAAATCTAATTAAAGAAATTGGCTTTTCGTCTGAAATATTTTCGACGTATGATGCGCTCTCCGGATATAAAAGTATTTCCGAACTATGAGAGAACAGTTCCTCGAAAGTCAGGCTTTCTTTACAAAAGAAAAATAGTCAACTGCACCGCATACTTCGTATTCCAGAATTTTAATTAAAGATGGCCGAGGAATCGTATTGCATCCAGTTTCCCTTGTTGGGTAGAGTGAGTCAGAATTTATCATACTTCATTCCAAAACTTCTGTTGCTTAGGGAACATTCAGTAGAATTTTTTTTTTAATCTGTTTCCTACTAATACCGAAAATGGCTTCCTTTCGAAGATTTCCCGCAGTGATGGGGGAAATCATTTATATCTTATTTCTATGGTAAGGAAGTGGAAATAATGACGAGTTAACTTTTTGAGAATGCTCAATTAAAGGTAACAGAAATCAACTTATAAAGAATAATGAACATAAAACAAAATATGAAATTATCAAAACGTCATTCAAGCAGAATTGTAGTAGGGATCAAATGACCGTACTTCATGTTACAGCAAATTGACTTTATTTAAAATATCGATTAATTTTTAATGTAATCCACAATGTATTTAACGAAATCCCGTTTACTGTTTTACTTCTGTTACTCATTCTGGCTCTTTTATAGTTATGTAGCCAAACCTTACGTACACAATAGGCCTAGAAACACACAAACAAATAATTACAGAGCTCCGTATCATCCCGATATAACAGCATAAAACTTTTATTAAACACGTTAATTCCAGCCTGTTCGAGCCGCTGGGGATCAGGACACAGAGAACTCGCTTCCTAATGATATCTCCCAGGTTCATCTCCTAATGATGGCTAGGAGATACGAATTCTACTCCAAGCTCGCACTGACCACAGTACTGACGTAAAATATGCTCATTGGTTGACAGATGATGAGTTAAAATACCCTTGCCATCAGGCTAACCAAGGAAGGTTTTCGTGATTTTTCACTCTATGTATCTCAAATACGGGTTAGATCAATAAAAAATTAAGGTTGGCTTTGAAGGTCAGTACTCTATGAAAGTGCCCCAATGCTTGATGCAGGAATTCTCTTGTTCTTTTTTGACGCCTTAAAAATTATAAGCATACGGCGTTGAACATAGATAATAATTATTAACTCAAAAATAGGTCGGCTGTTCAACTTCAGTTTAAAAAGAATATTTCAAAAAGTATTATTAATTTAGCTAAGATGGCTCAACGGTTAGCGTTCCAATAAGACGAGCCATGTCATTTCGTTAATAGCTTTGTTCGATAGCTGGAGTCACTTTGTGTCCGGTTTGTACCTTTTCAAGCGCTGACCAAAAATTTCTCCAGATCATGGGTTAGAGACCTTTTACCAGCGGGTTAACCATAAGAGGCACTCGTGATTGTCCAATCCCTGTGAATTATTCTTACTCAAGTCTTCCAAGAAGGGGATTTTACCCAAATGCTTGATGCGGGTGTGTCCTTGTTTTCTGTGTTTTGTTTAAGGTGCAACATTCTAAGAATAAAGAGTTGGATATAGATGAAGCAGAAAATCCGATAGGGATCAATCGCTTGATCATTACCAGTTACAAAATAAGCTTGTTTAAACTCAACTCTGAGTAATATGAATAAAAATCGCCTTAAACAGCCTTAGCTTTAAAGTAGTCTTAAAACTGCATACAAAATCTGTATTAAAGACAGTTCCGGGATTTGTCAGTGTTTATATAAATAAGTTTTAACTTAAGCAGTCAATAAGCGTTGTTAGATGAACAATATATGAAAACAAAAGTGAAAATAAACTTACTTACTTTCGTATGCTATGTAAACAATAAATTCATTTAGAGAAAAAAAAATTTTGTTGAGAAATTTACATTTTTTGAAGGAAAAAAATTGCTCTGTAATTATGTTTTTTGTAGAATAAACAAGTGCATTACATAAATTTAATGCAAGCACACGCATAAAATATTTTAGTGATAACTCAAATTCAACAATATTTATTTCGAAAATCGTTCAGAGTTTACTGGGAAGATGAGAAGTGGAAGATGAAATATATAGATAGAGGATCAGAATAAATGATAGAAGAGAATAGCCCTGTTAAAAACGAGGAGAATATTGGAGTGAGAACGAGATGATAAAAGATGAAATAACGAATATTGACTCTTAAAAAACTTATCTTTCGTCTTCCTCCGATTGGCTGCCTAAGGAGCAAAAAAAAATTTTTTTTTGGAAAAATGCTCCTCTTTTTAAGATTGACGTCCAATTCACTAGATGGCGTTAAAACTTGTTTATCAGTTTCATAGAAAAGTGTTACAGAGTTTACACTTTATATTTAATGCATGAAGGCAAACGATACTTTTTTTCAAAGCTAATTTTTCATCTAAGTATGCAGCGTCTTCTGCAGCTTAATACTGATAGGATAATTGTTCCCTTTTATCGTTTTCTTTCATTATTTCTAATTGGGTATAATATAAAAAAAACACAACGACTTCCACTTACTAGGAATAACATTTACCATGACAAATTCTATGCCACTATCCACATAAATGCCACTATCCACATAAATCAATTATTAATCAAAAATCGAATATCAATTACTTTTCTTTATAATGCAATAAAATCTGGCGAGCAGCTATTTAAACGATCAAACACTTCGTGTGTTTATTTGTGGCTTGAAGTTAGGCTCGCAGAAAATGCCGTTCATGGGTTAAATTTAGTAGGAATAACACAACCTGTGACGTAGGCTTTCTAATCGTTTGGTTATTTTTAATTTTAATTCTACAGTGTTTCAATGTTCTACTGTGTTTCAACGTTGAATGTTTCAATGATCCTAAATATTTTTTTTTTAGTTTATTAAATAATTCATTTATAATTTAAACTGACAGAAAATCAGGAATTTTAAACGGTTATAAAAACTTTAAAAGTGGAATTAAACGTCCAAATTATTAAAAACATTACAGCAATTTTCTAATGAATTAACGAAAAACTTTTCTAAGTTTCAATGAAAACTATATTTTTTTTGCATTCCATTATATATGTAATGTTGTAAATTATTATGTAATAATGTATAATCATTATAAAGTTTGGTAAACAAATAAATATATAAATAGGGATTTCTACGCTAATTTCCTCCCGGGGCTATCTGGAAACTCTTTTCAAATATTTTTTACCTTGAAGAAAAAAATTTTCAAATGAGGATAAATGTAAGCAGATACAAACTGATAAAATAGAAATAAATATTATTATAATGCAGTGCAAAACATTCCAATTCGCGATCGCAACGCTCGAGTACGCCGTCTAGCGGGAGCCTGTAAATATCGGACATTAACTTAATACAATCACATTTTCTGCCATCGAAATCATTGACTGAATCAGACGCCATTTTTTAGCAGCAAATAAGAAACAAAATTTCCCTAAGGAAAAGGCCGAAGAACTTGAAAAAAATCTCCAGAATATTAGTAAATCTTTCAGGAACAGAACACGCCAAACATTTGAAGAAAAATTCCTCAATAATTTTTAATTTCTATTATCAACAAACTTGCAACTGATGACTTCCGATTTCGGATACTGTTACAGATGTGTGTATTAAGGTAAAATGCATTTCTTCTGTCTTCAATTCATTACGAATTAAAGTGAAGTCAACATTGCTTTCGTCATTCCAGTGAATAAA